CCACCCCAATCTCGCAGCACTTTCACCCCTGGAGCAGAGCCAGGGCGGCAGGAGACGCTGACTACACGCCCATGGTCCAAAGTCAAGGCTCCGCTTGGCTCCGCTCGGTTCCCCGGCGGGGCCCGGAGCCGCTGGGCATTCCCAGAGCTCCGGCTCAAGGACGAGCCCCGCTCCCCGTGGCCGAGCAGCCCGGCAGAGGAAGGCTTGGCCGCCCTGGGAGCGGCAATCCGATCCCGCTGCCCTGCCGCTCAATTAGCTGGCTCAAAATTTGAGCCGTCGGCGGCTGGAGCCTGCCCAGCGCCCCGGACGCTCGCAGGAGGCTGCAGAGGAGCTGGGGAAAAGCGTGGCTGGGGAAGGTGGGACACGGAGCTTTTGGGCAGGAAAACCTCAGGGATACTCGGGATGGAGCACTTTGTGTGTCCCACCGGAACAAAGTCCTCCAGCAGCAGGAAAAAGCTGGGAATTAACCTGACTGTGATGGTGAATTAAAGTCCTTGCTGGGGTGTTGAGGGAGGATTATCCCAGCTCTGCTCCCTGCAGCATTCCTGGCCTGAGCTCCGGGGCACCCACAGCTCCGGGTCTTTCCTGGGACACTGGGCAGGAGCAACGTGGCTTTGGAGCAAGCCCAAACCTCCCTCCAAGGAGGGCAGGCAGGTCCAGGCAGTGCTGGGTTTCACTCCCCAAGAGCCTTAGAAGGGATTTCGCAGGATTTAAACTCCCAGAGAAATTTATGTAACAGCAAAAACCCAGGGAAGGTTTTGCTGAGGCAGCCGGAGGTGGTGCTGCCCAGAGGTTGCTCCAAACCCCAGCCCAAAGGCTCAAACACAAATTAGGGAGCTACGAGAGGGAGAAATCGGGAATTTTTAGTTCAGCAACAGCTTCTCCTTTCCAGGACAGGGACCCAGAATGCAGAACCATCCCTTTTTGGTGGGGCCACTCTTGTTCTACCCCCAAAGTCCATCACGGCTGAGCCTGAGCAAATCCCCAGGATTGTTTTGCTTGGAAAATGCCTGAGTGGCACCAAATCTCAAACTGGAGCACGTGGACGAGGCCAGTTCAAGCTGGCACAGAGGGCACAGGGCCGAGGGTCAGAGGAGAGGGGGCACGGCGTGCCAGGAGGAGGATCCCCGGGGAGAACCCGGCTGGTTCCTCATTAATGAACAACAGGGATCCGGTTAAAGGCCGGATCCGCACGGTCCCACCGGTGGGACACGGGGACGAGCTGCCATCCCCAGTGCCCCATCTGACCCACCACGATCCGGGGGCTCACCCAGAATGGGGACCCCCCCCGTCAGGCCAGGGGTCTCGAGGGTCTCTCTGACACCCGGACCCTGCACGCTTTAGGATTCCGGGATTCGGTGCCGGCGGAAGGCGAGGGCAGCGCGGTGACAGCGATGTCACCCCCGGTACCCCCACCCCCTCCGCACCCCCAAACCAGCGCGGTCCTGCCTGCCCTCCCCGTGCCCCCGTGCTGAGCCCAGAGCCACGGTGAGCAGCTGCCAAGGCGCCCCACGATACGGGGGAGAAGGGGACAGAACCGGGGAGAACCGGGGAGGCCCCGCGGTACCGGTCGCACCTGTGGCCAGGTAAAGCCGTTGGACGCCGGTACGGGCTTCCAGCCGAGCCAGCAGGTCGCCGATGGGGCCGGGGCTGTAGAGGAAGCGCTCCAGGCGCTGCTGCACGGAGCCCATGGCGGCGGCGGCGCTGAAGCGGCGGCGGCCCCGGAGCGGCCCCGGTGCGACCCCGGCCCGGCGAGCGCTCCGCTGGGGGCGTGGCCAGCGCCAGGGGGCGGGGCTCAGCGGAGGGCGTGGCCAATGGGAGGGCGGGGCGGGGAGCAGCGGGCCAATGAGGCGCGGCCGTGCGGGGGGCGTGGCCGACGCCGTTGCCATGGCAGCGCGGCCTCATGGCGGCGCGGCCCGGCCCGGCCCGGCGCTGCTCCCGGTTCTTGTCCCGGTTCTTGTCCCGGTGCTGCTCCCGGTGCTGCTCCCGGTGGCCGCCGCCGCCCCTCCGGGCCCCGCCAAGCCCCGAGTGTATCTCAGCAGCTGGGCCGTGCGGGTGGCGCCGGGGCTGAGGGACGCCCGGGCTCTGGCCCGCCGGCACGGGTTGCTCTACCGAGGCCAGGTGCGGCCTGGGCGGGGAAGGCGGGCCCAGCCCACCCCGTGTGCCCTTGGCCCGGTGCTGCCTCTGTTCGTCCCCTCCGCTTGTCCCGTGGGCAGGGATGTCTTCCATTAGGCCTGGTCACTCCAAGCCCCATCCAACACTTGCTCAACACTTCCCCTCCAAGGCTCCCTGGGAATCTGGGAATTCCGTGCCAGGGTCCCCCCAGCCTCAGAGCAAACGGCCCCTGAGCGTGCAGGGGTGAGCGAGGGACCCCCGAGGCACCCAGCCCCTCCCCAGGACTCCACGCTGTTCCCAAGGGACACTTTTGGCCCGTCCTGCTGGTGTTCAATCCACCCTGGGACACTCTGTCCATCCTGCTCGTGTTCAATCCACCCTGGGGACACTTTCGGCCTGTCCTGCTGGCGTTCAATCCACCCTGGGGACACTTTCGGCCTGTCCTGCTGGCGTTCAATCCACCCTGGGGACACTCTGCCCGTCCTGCTGGTGTTCAATCCACCCTGGGGACACTTTCTGCCCGTCCTGCTGGTGTTCAATCCACCCTGGGGACACTTTCTGCCCGTCCTGCTGGTGTTCAATCCACCCTGGGGACACTTTCGGCCTGTCCTGCTGGTGTTCAATCCACCCTGGGGACACTCTGCCCATCCTGCTCGTGTTCAATCCACGCTCCGAGCAGCTCTTTGTGCCCGCAGGTGATGGAGGGAGAGCCCTTCCACCACTTCAGCCACCGCGGCAGCCGGCAGAGAGCCCTGAGCCGGCACTGGGGGTGGCACATGCGGCTCGCCAGGGACCCCCAGGTAGGGAGGAAGGCCCGGGGTGCCAGGGGACAGCTGTGGGCAGGCACGGCCGGGCGCTCACAGCGCTGCTCCCCGCCCAGGTCCTGTGGTTCGAGCAGCAGACGCTGAAGAGACGCTCCAAGAGAGGCGCGGGCGTGGTGCCCACCGACCCCTGGTTCCCCAAGCAGTGGTACATGGTGAGAGCCGGCTGCTTCCCCTCCTCATCCCCACCCCAGTCGCGGGATGGAGGGGAGCAGAGGCACATCCAGAGCCCCCTCCCTGCTCAGCACCATCCCAGAGGCACAGGATTGGGTCTGGATTGCTCTGGGATATCCCCAGGGAGGGAAACCCCACAGCCCCTCTGGCCTCTGTTCAGGGCTCAGGCGCTGCACACTGAAGGAATTCTTCCTCCTGTGCAGGGGAATTCCTGGGATCACTCCCTGCCCCTTCCTCTGGTGCCATTTCTGGTCCCCAGGGCGAGTCTGGCCCTGCCCTGAGCCCTCCCAGGGCAGCAGCCAGGGACACCCGGGGCTGAGGGCCCCTCTCAAGGCTGAACAGCCCCAGCTCCCTCAGCTTTTCTTTGTCAGGGTGTTCCAATCCCTTCCTCAGCCTTGTGACCCTGCACTGGACCCCTCTGGGAGCTGCACGTCCCGAGGAGCCCAGAGCTGGGCACAGCACCCCAGAACTGGGCACAGCACCCCAGAACTGGGCACAGCGCCCTAAATTGGGCACAGCACCCCGGAACTGGGCACAGCACCCCAGACTGGGCACAGCACCCCAGAACTGGGAACAGCACCCCAGAGCTGGGAACAGCACCCTAAATTGAGCACAGCACCCCAGACTGGGCACAGTGCCCCAGAACTGGTCGCAGCACCCTAAATTTGGCACAGCACCCTAGACGGGGCACAGCACCCAGAGCTGGGCACAGCACCCCAGACTGGGAACAGCACCCAGAAATGCCCCCAGGGCCGGGCAGAGGGGCAGGGTCCCTCCGTGCCCGCTGGCCGTGCCCTTCCCAGCGCCCCACCCGGACATGATCCCGGCTAATGCCGGCAGTGCTGAGGCAGCAGCACTCCCGCAGGTGACCCCGATCGGAGTTAATCTGTTTTCCAGAACAACGACATCCATCCCGACCTGAACATCCTCACGGCGTGGAGCAGAGGCTACACGGGGCTGGGCGTGGTGCTGACTGTCCTGGACGATGGGCTGGAGAAGGATCACCCCGACCTGGCCGCCAACTACGTAATTATGGGGGGGTCCAGGAGCTGCTCCTCCAGGGAGGGTGGGGTCGATGCTGTCAGCCCACCTCCAGCATTCCCGGTGGGAATTTGGCCCCTCCGGGGCTGGATCCAGGGTTTGGAGCCTCCCATGGTACAATTTCACACTGGGTTTGAAATGTTCTGACGTGCCCACGCAGAGGAGCCCCCAGAGGTGTGATTGCAGCAAGCTGCAAAGGCAGCGTGGTGGGCAAACCCTCCCAAGAAGGAAAAGCAGCCCTGGTGGTGTGGAACTGTGCCGTGGCTCCTCTCCCGGGGCTGTGTGGCCAGCGAGGGTCACCCTCAGCAAAGCTGTGCTGCTTCCAGCCCCTCCTGCACCACCCCAGAGCCACCGAGGCTGGAAAAGGGCTTCAGAATCATCGAGTCCAACCTGTGCCCACCTTCTCACCAGCCCAGAGCACCCAGTGCCACCTCCAGGCACTCCAAACCTCCCGGGGCAGCCCCTGCCAAGGCCTGCCCACCTTTCCCATGGGGAAATTCCTGCTGATGTCCCACCAGGCACAGCCTGAGGCTGTTCCCTCCTGTGCCGTTGTCCCCTGGGCCTGACCCCCATGACTGTCCCCTCCTGCCAGGGACTGGTACAGAACCAGAAGCTTCCCCCTGCTCCTCCTTTTCCCCGGGCTGAGCCCCTTCCCCAGCTCCCTTCCCTCTCGGGTCTCGGTTTAGCTCCCAGCACAGCTGGGCACGAAGGGGCCCCGCTGTCCCCCGGGCTGGCAGGCGGGTCCCTCGGCGGTGCCAGCGCCGGGCTGGGTGCCAGGAGCCTGTGCCAAGCTGCCACAGCCCTGCCCGGGCCCTCACGCCGCTGCCTCGCCGTGTAACAGGACCCGCTGGCCAGTTACGACTTCAACAGCAACGACCCCGACCCCCAGCCCCGGTACAGCGACAGCGACAAGAACTGGTGGGTTCTGCCCAGCTCCCCACACTGGGGGGGTCAGCCCTGGGGCTGTCCCAGGCCCCCCACCCCTCTCAGGGTCACTCTGTCCCCCCAGGCACGGGACACGCTGCGCGGGGGAAGTGGCAGCCGTGGCAAACAATGGAATCTGCGGTGCTGGCGTCGCCTACAACGCCAAAATCGGAGGTAAGATGTTGCTCCTCTGTGAGGGAAGTTGGAAATCATCTCCAACCCCCTGTGGGGCTGCTCTGGGCTTTACAGGGGTGGGCAGGGTGGGTGCTGCCCCACACCAGGCTTGGTGCTGCCCAGCTACAATGCCAAAAATAGAGGTGAGATGTTGCTCCCCTGTGAGGGAAGCTGGAAATCATCTCCAGCCCCCTGTGAGGATGCAGGAGCCCAGGTGGGGCTGCTCTGGGCTTTACAAGGGTGGCTGCTGCCCCACATCAGGCTTGGTGCTGCCAAGGCTTTGATGCTCAGCCTAACACCAGCAGGGCAGGCTCAGGCTCCGCTGTGGAAGTGAAGGTGGCAAAGTGGGGGGGATTAAACACCAGGAGCACTCCCTGTGCTTAATGAAAAAAGGCTTAATGAGGAGCTTTGGGAAGGGCACAGACACGAGGGGGCCTGATCTCCTTAGGGCAGGGGCACTGAAAGCTCCAGGCCCTGCCCTTGGTGTGGCTCGTGCGTGGCTCCCGTCCCCTCCACGGCTGCCCGGTGCCTCCCTCAGGCGTGCGGATGCTGGACGGCTCCATCACGGACATGGTGGAGGCCCAGGCCCTGGGCCTGCAGCCCCAGTACATCCACATCTACAGCGCCAGCTGGGGCCCCGAGGACGATGGCAGGACGGTGGACGGGCCCGGAGTCCTGGCTGCAGCCGCTTTCCACAGAGGGGTCGTCCAGGTAAGCCCAGCCCTGGCCTTGAGGGCCACAGGGACACGAGGACAACCCGCTGACCCCCCTCTGCTCTTCAACAGGGACGGGGTGGGCTCGGCTCCATCTTCATCTGGGCCTCGGGCAACGGCGGCACCAACTACGACAACTGCAACTGCGACGGGTACACCAACAGCATCTACACGGTGTCGGTGGGCAGCGTCCTGGCGGACGGGCAGCGGCCCCGCTACAGCGAGAGCTGCCCCGCCATCCTCACCACCACCTACAGCAGCAGGGCCACCAGCGAGGTGCAGATCGTGAGTGTCACAACAGCTCTGCCACAGCAGCAGCTCCGCGCCGGCCGCCGAGCCCAGCACCGGGCTGGTCCCAGCCCGCCTCAGCTCAGCGTCCGTGTCCCAGAAGGAGAATTTAATGAAGGTCCCCAAGTGCAGGCAGCTTTTTTGGAAAGTCCTGAGACCCCCCTGTCCCCGCAGGTGACCACTGACCTGCACCACCGCTGCACAGACAAACACACCGGCACCTCCGCCTCGGCCCCGCTGGCCGCGGGCATGGTGGCCCTGGCGCTGGAGGCCAAGTAGGTGACACCGAGACACGGGGACACGGGATGAGAAAGGGGAGGGGAAGCAGGAAGGTTGGGGTGCAGAGCTGTGGCTCCCCCCAGGGCCATGGGAGAGCAGGAGGGTTGTCCTCTGGAGCTCTTCGCTCCTGTTTTGGCACCGAAGGAAGTCATGGGGGGGGATCAGCTTGGGCTGAGAGTTGCTCTACCCCTGCCAGAAGAACCAAATCTCCCCATGAAAAACTAACCCAGACCTCTG